GCTATAAACCATAGTTTTAACCAAAAACCATTTGCTAGCTAATATTTCAAACAATTGAAGTTGGGTTACATGGATTGGCCCGGGTTTGACTTTTAGAAAATACTTGCCTATATTGGACCCAGTTAAGGTTTATACTTGGGCCTTACTCATGATTCTTATTATGATATTCGGGACAAGTCCCAAGTTCTTCTCCAAAAAAAGCTCCCTTATCTCTCTCCCTGCTACTGTCTTTTATACAGCCCGAGAGCCAATGTCACGGTCAGATGTCACGGGGGTGACATTGGCAGCTTGGCCATGATCTCATCCAAAAAACGCAGGTGTTTGCTGCCATTTTTGTCTGATGTAACGGTCAGCTGAAAATTGTCACAGTTTGGTGACTGTGAACTTCAACTTGCACGTGAGGCGTGCAAAAGCTTTTGTATCCTGTCAATCTTCACAGTCTAGGCCAAACATTGTCTCCTGCCTATGATAATGGTCCTCTGGCCATGACTTGTGCCCTTTTGTCCATTTTGCTCCTTTTTCGCCCTCTTTCGTTAGAGTTTCGCTCTCGAGGTTAAATCCACCTGCTAAGACCGTAAACGTGCTAAAAACATGCACAGCCTAGCGTAAAATTGAACCTCGAGCGATGTAAACGCCTCAAACATAGCAAGAATATGGAGTGAGAACATGTGTAATTAAGCCCAAATCCGCATCTTTGCAACTCCTCCTATCGTCACTCTTCTCCCCGCCGGCGGCTGAAACATTTGCTTCTAGTGGTAACGTTATCAGTACATTGTTAGTTGTATCAGTGTACTAGTAATGTTATTAGTGCAATGGTAGTTGTATCAATGCAGTGGTACTTTCTAATGAAATGAAACTTTTTTTAGGTGGTCGGAGGGAGTCTTCCAGAGAAATTTTGGTCAAAAATAGTCTGCGGCCGAGAGTACGACCGGAAGAAGTCTACTGGGAGAGGGCAACAAAGCTATTGGAAAAGAAAAGAGTGAGAGATAGGGAGAGAGAAATGTAATTAATGTATGTTTAATTTTGAGAAAATGAATGTGATTAATACAGGGTTTTTTTTGTCAAAGAGGTAATAAATACATAAACGATTTCATATCCAAAATAGCTTTAATTAATAGAGTTTGTCATTTTTCCAACCCTTTAAAAGTTAGTCAAGCTAACTCATCCCATGTTTAGTGGATGATTGATTAAAAGAGACGTATTGGAGGAGAAACAAGTCAAGAACATCAAGAACACAACATGCATGCCAAGTTGATTTATTGAAGACATTATGATATTATATAACTTTATATTACCAGATACCACAGGCAAATAATTCATTCATTTAGTTCATCCAAAAAAGAAATTTCACCATGCAATTTCTCCATATAATACACAAATACCACATTTAGAATTCATGAATTATTTTATCTTACAAATACCACTTTGCCAACTAACTCATCAAAGAACCCAAAACTTACCAATCAACATTTTATTCTTCGATAGATGTTCACATTTTCGAAATATATTACGAACAATGCCCAATTTTTTTCATTACCCAAGACAACGCAAGGGCAAAGAAGTTGTAGGTGGTTACATTTAAGAGAATATAAAATTTACATATAATTCAATTTTTTTTATAGAACAAATAATTCAATGTTTTTATGAAAAAATAAAAAATTGGATTTCATGCTGAAAAGAAGGGTGTGTTTGTAGTCCACTCTATATTTTGATCATGGAACAAGAAAAGGGTCGTACCGGCTGGTTCAACTGCAGAAAATGGGAACCGGAAAAAAACTGAATGGTAGGTGCTTAGTAGCTGAAATATCGTATTAGCCGATTTTTTAGGTCGAACGGGGCTGCCGCGAAATACCGGCCGGTTTTGAACCTACCGACAGTAGGCTGTTTGCAACAAAACATCGCTGAATAGCTGGGCCTTGTCACTGCCTCCGCACCGCGGCAACACCTCCATCTCCACCGTCGACCTGTGTCGCCAGCCAGATCTGCCGCACCTGGCCATCGCGCTTATCAAGCCATCTTGTCGCCGTTGCCCAGGCCCCACCGTTATTTGGCCGAATGCTCTGATGCGGAAGAAGAATGAAGAGGAAGGAATTGGCTGTTTGAAAGAAGAGAGGAAGAAGGCTACATGTTATCCCGCCACCAAAGGAAAGAAGGACGGGTTGAGTTTTCTACTTTTCTTGGTAGGGACGGGATTCGGTTTTCCGGTTAACGATTTAACCGATAACTGTTCCGGTAACCGCGATTATCAATTAAACCATTAACCGGACAGTGACGGTTGTCGGATGGGATTTTTCAGCGTCGGTATACCAGAATCCTGCGTTTATATACCAACGATGACCAGGTTTTCCGATACCGAAATTGAATACGGAGTTCATCAACAGTTCGGAATTAAGATTAGACTAATTAGTAAGAAACTAAATACTAGTATTAGCCTATTAGGAAAAGTAGTTAGTAATTATCGTGCTCTCTCCCCTCTCGTCTCTCCCCCTCTGCATACCTAACCCTCACGAGTCCCGCCGTCCGATTGAAATCCCAATTGTCGTCCTCTCCAACGGCGGTGCACTCCGACCCACGAACTATGCAGCAGTCCAACAACTGTATCCTCTCCGTCAACCCTAGCATCATGTCCTCTCTGTCGACCCCGACGTAGTGTCCTCATCACCGGCGCAACTTCCCAGCTTGACCCAGCAGCCTATAACATCGTCCTTTGATTTGATGGTGATTTTAATTGTTGTTGTTTTAATTTTGTGGCAAAATTTCACTACTTCACCCTGCTGCAACTTAGAGCCGATCATTAAGCCCATCCCGAACGTCTGTGTTGAAGGAGACAAGCCAGAGTAGAGGACATGCGAAGAAGAAGACAACAAGCGCTACCTCCTATTTGCGCTAAGTCGGTGTGGAGTTTAGTTAACCAGTAACCGTCGAGCTCGAGTACCGGTTAACCGGCTGTTGCACGGTGTCGGCTGTCGGGGACTATCTTCTGATTTTCAATATACCGCTAACCGGTAAGTCGGTTACTGGTTTAACCGGTAACCAATCGAATCCTGATACGGATGGCAATGGGTCTGGTCGGGGCCGATAGTGCATATCTGTTTTTCTACCCAAAGTTTTTCGGGATTTACCCATATCATACCCACATAAGAAACGGGTAGAAAATCAAAACCATTCCCACCCCCGTTTGGATTTTGGGTATCCACGTTTATTGATAACGCCGAAATCGGTGTTATTTACCCTCCATCTTAGGGTATGTTTTGTGCCAATTCATGTGCTTAAGCGTTTAAACATTGTCAAATACATCTCTATTTCGTTCCTATTTGATTTTGATGTGATTATAGGGTGTATTAGTCAATATGTGCAAATAAGTTACAAAACAAGGCCACAAGTGTAGAAAAGGGGCAAGGATCAAAGATCGTGGCATAGAAGCAAAGATCACGGTCGGAATCTCCAGTCGTGAAGACTCACTGAAGATCGCGGCCCAGAAGTCAAAGATCACGACCGCAATCTTGGAGCCAAGGATGTGAACTTCGCGAGGAAGGAGCCATGGATAAGCATAGACTTTCCCTAGTCTAATCAAGACCAATGTGCAAAATGCCCGCGAGTAAGATCACGGCCGCGACTCAAGGATCACGACTGCGAAGTCATCCCGCAATCTCCCCCGTCCTTAAGGCCTCATCGACAATGTTTTGAGATCAAGACCTAGTGACCAAAGGTCACGACCGCGATCTTACTGCCTTAGGCCGCGAACTTCCCCGAATCCAAGTTGCCTATAAGTAGAAGACCCCCTTCCCCCTTTTCAAGTGAACTGATTTTGTGTGAAATAACTAGTTCTAGAGAGAGAGAAGCTGAAGGGAGAAAAAAGAGAAGGAGAAGAAGGAGGATCTAGGATCAAGGAGACATCTTCTACCCCAAGTCTTCTGCTATTTCTACCATGTAACTTCTTCCCTCCTTTATAGAGTAGACCTTTAAGGTACTAGGGGTTTTAAACCCCAAATCCTAGTTTTAGGGTTTATTATGTATGTATGGATATTTTAGGGTTTTAATGAATGAATGTGTTTGTCTAGTTGATTTTTAATGTCCCTCTATCCTAAATGATGATGCTTGGGTAGGTCACCCTAACCTTCCTCTTAGCCTACTTTATGCTACCGCACTGGGTAAGGAGTTCTAGGGTTAGACGGGTATGCGTCAGCTGGCGAGTTTAGGTTAGATGTGTGAATGGGGGCATATAGTGGTCGAGGCGACCGAACCCCTGCTATAGGTAGCCTTCCTAGATGGAACCCGGGATGAAACCTTGGTGTGGACGGTGGATAGTGTCCATTGAAATGAGTCATAACCTTAATGCCCCAGATACGATAGGCTAGATCGAGGTGATTGAAACATGGGTTTAGGGGAGACGTACTCGGGGGCATGTGAATAACGATGAAGACCCACAGAAAATAGCTCACTCACCACTTTCGATGGCCGTAAGTATCTATACATGCATAGTATCCCTAAGCTAGGGGGAGGATTAGTTCCCCAAAGTACCTACTTTTAGCTTTGATCAACCTCTAGACTAGTATTTCCTCATATCCTCCACTCAAAACCTCAAAAACCGATTACCTAATTAACAACAAGGTGAGAAGTAGGCTAGGGTACCAGGACCCGAGTAGAATACGACCTTGATTACCACTATACGGCAATACCAACCTAGATTAAACTTGGTTTAAGATGTGATAGTTGTTGATACGTGCAAACTACTGACAATAACATGCACGAATTCAAGTGATTAGTGAATTCGTACATTTTTCTTATTCATTGTTATGCAATTGAAATCTTTTTTAGACAAATGACATTATTGTTTACAAGAGTGAGTGCATAGTATACTTTGATAATCTAGATTGTAACCGTAGTCAAATTCCACAAAAAGATATGAACTAATTGGAAATGACGAGATTATTCATCAAAACGCAAAACCTAGAGGGATTGTAGATACTAGAGAGGGATAGTCAAATACGCCGCACAATCCAAACGATCTAATTTTACTTTCAATCACCACCTTATCGTCCTACACTGCATGAAAGTTTACAAGTGTGAAGAAACATCGCTAACTTGTGGAGAGAAAAACAAAGTGAAAGATCCACAACACTGAGAAGAGGAATGTATCCCTCGGAACAAAAAAACCAAGATCGGTTGGCATCTAGACTAGTTCGAGGCCCCGGCTTTCGGGGATTTCTGCGAGAATAAATAGTCATTGAAGCCGAGAAAAATCACATTCTCCGCTACTCTTTGCAGATCTTTACTCGAAGAGTGTCTTACCATCCGTTCTTGTCATCATCCCCCAAGTCTTCCGGTAAAGACCACCTGGACTTCGCATCAACAAGTTAAACCCTTCTCATTTTTCAGCTCTCCATCCAGCTCTGTTCACATGTCATTGTTAAGGATGTCCCTCATCATCTCAATTGGGATCAAGCCTTCAGTCCGGATTGCATCCTTGCTTGGGTCTGGGCTGATGAAGAACAATGTTGGCAGACCTCGAACCTGCACAATATATCATCTCGTTTTATACACACACAAAAACAGGAATTGCTTGTACTAGGACAAGCTAACATCGTCTATGGGGTTTACATCTGACCAGTCAATGAAATTCCAGTAGTATGGAACATTTGTGATGAAAGTCTTAGTATGGAAAATTTAAGATTGGCATGAACAATGAGTTACCTGCATATCTCTTGCAAATTCATACTCATCGTCAGTGTCAACCTTGACAATCATTGCATTTCTCTCATACTCCACAGCAAGCTGCAGAGATCAGTTTATTAGAAGCACAGAGCGAGTACAATGCAAAATCCACTATTTCAAATGCATGCTCTATATGGAGAGAATGAATCACTTGGACCATGATCAAAAATTCCATCTGAACCTGAAAACTTTAGGGAACAACAGAATAGACATGACTGTGCGCAAATAAACAAACCACAGATCTTGCTGTTATTTATCATTGCTTCAACGAAGACTAAAAATTTATACCAATAGCCAATGTATGGTATGAAATCAATTGATATGAGAGCAATCATAACCAAAGACACAACCTATAAAAAAATGCTAATTCCCAGCACTCCAATCTGCCCCAAAATTCACTCTAGCAAGTAGTGAGGACAGCTACTATGATAGGTAAAAAGAGTAGATGGAAGATTAAGGACCCAGCATACGCTAATCAGGAAAACATACAAAAAGTCGCAACATGACCTATGCCTTACAACCTTGTCTACCAGTAAAATACCAACCTGGCAACGCATAACTAGTAATACTACATTACTACAATAATGTCACTATGTACCCAACACCAGACCACACGTTGACTCCAGAGTATCCCTCAATAGATCTGCAACTCTGGAGACAATATGTGGTCTGGTATTGGGAACGTAATGATATTATTGTTGTAACGTACTGTATGAGGGAAGCAGATACCAAGTGTTCACTCAGAATCATTAATGTCTAACATTAGTTTATACTTTATACTACTCGAACCAATAAAGTGCAGTCATTGTGCTTATGGAGTTTATAGAGTAATAGGACCACTGATTCAATAATCAACATAGCCTCGCAAATCTGGATGCATACAACTGCATTGTAATCAATCAGAGAACAAACTATCAAACATCACAACATGACTATGTGATCCAACTGCCAAGCACATTGGTCTTTTGTTTTATGAGGTAGGCACGGTTGTTAATTAATCAAGTCCATTCTGTACAGCCTCTTTTGTTCAGTAGTGTTCTAAAGATAAGGACGCATATTCTCCATTATATTCATTTTCTCAGGAATTTGAACTGCCTAAGCAGGTATACAGAGCTGCCATTACACAAATCGTCATCCCAAGTAGAGTAAGCATAAAGAATCTAAGTAGAGTGGACAACTGAAAACGGAAATCTTATGAACTAGAAGTTTATGGCAGAAAAATGATGTATAAGCGGAAAACAACATGAGTAGTCAAAAAAATGGCTATTAATCTGGGCGAAAAGGGAAGTCCGATGAATACCATTTCAAGCTCTTGGGCCATCAAAATGCAGGGGCCACACCATGTTGCATAGAAGTCGAGAATTAGGGGTACAGTCCTTTCTCCCCTTACCAGCTCCTGTATTTCCTCCGCCGTCTTCTTTTTCTGCAATCGGCAAAGAAACCATTAAGACATTCTAACCAACGAAATTAGTCGCCAAAAAGTTACTCCACCATGCCCAAGTATCCATCTCAATATATGCACCGGTTAACAGTTCTTTCCCAACTGCCGAATGCTAATTCTAGCTTAGATAAACAACGAGAAAATCACACCACCAGAGAGAGACGGCACCCAACATCCCAAACAAATAACTAAAAGCCGACGACTAGATACCAACCACTAGATAGTCGTCTCTGATGTATTTAGCTTGGGGAGGTCTGCAAAGCAGCTGTCTTGGCTCCATTGACAGCGAAGATTGACGCCGTAACTGGTGGGTGGGAATAAGGAGAGAGCTGTGACGGGAAGGGAAATGGAGTGATGAAGAAGAAGAAGAAGAAGAAGAAGAATGAGAAGGAAGAGGTGGTTTAGAGTTAGAGAGACTTGAAGAGAAGAAGGTGGATGAGGAGAGACAAAATGGTGAGTAAGCCTGGAGAATAGCCATCCTTCCTACACTGCCGCCTGTATGAAGGTTAGGAGAAGGGGTTTGCAATTTGCAGAGTGGATGTGGTCTGCGGTTTAAGAAGGGACTTTCCGTCTCTTTTCTTTGGAAAAAATTCCACTGTACACATGTTTTTAAAAAAAATTTCTATAAAAAAATTTCCCAAAGTACACATGTTTGAGCATCACCATTTTAGACAAAAGCGGTGAAGGTCATCACCGCTTTTGACCAAAACGGTGAATACTTCATCGTCTTAAACAAAAACGGTGAAGTATTCACCGTTTCAAACTAAAACGGTTAAGTTTTCACCGCGTTAATTAACAACGGTGAACACATCACCGTTTTGGTAAAAAACGGTGAACCCATTCATCGTTGTTAAGTAACGCGGTGATCATTTCCCACGTTTCCCACCCCTGGTAGGTCAAAATTAGGTCGCAGCTACCACCTATTCACCGTTTGAGACAAACGCGGTGATGGTGTTCACCGTTTTCGACAAAAATGGTGAATAGTAGGCAGATTTTCCTATAAATTGCACACCACCAGCAGTTGTAAAAACATAACCACTCCCCTTTCTTCAAATTTCTGCAGCCAAAATCGAGCATAATACACAGAACATAAATTTTTCGGTATGTTGAGACTTTTCGTATTATAGTCTAATTATGTTTTTAGTAGTTATAGTATGATTTAATTTTCGTATTATGTTGTTGTTAGTTAGTTGAACTTATGTTCGTTAGTTATAGTATGATTTAATTTTCGTATTATGTTGTTGTTAGTTAGTTGAATTTATTTTCGTTAGTTATGGTATGATTTAATATTAGTTGTACAATATGATTTCGGTTAATTTTACTGTCTTTAAGCTAATAGATACTTATTGTAAATTGTAGATATGGGTAAATTCAAGAAGTTTCATCTTACTATTCGGTGGAATGGAAGGGTGACAAACTCTGACATAGGCATTGATTATGAGGACGGCGAATCCATTATGCTGAAAATTGATTTCCGATTCAATTTTCAAGAACTCTGTGATCTTTGTGCAGAAAGGGTTTGTACGAGCGGACAGACGAGACTTGGCAAAATTACTTACCGGTATCCAGACATGAGTGCTGGCGGGGTCATGTTCCAAGAAGTTGTCATAAACGATGATGACGCGGTTATGATGATGTTACAGTTCCTAAGCGATAACCAAGTCCGGCTTGCAGAGGTGTATGTTGAGACCGAGGCGGTCGGTGAATCTCATTCTCACCAGTATTCTTATGATGATGGTTTTGCAGGAGGGTACGAATGGGGTGGTAGTTCGAGCAACTACCAAGGCGGTGGTTATACAGGAGGTTACGGGGAGGGTGGTGGTTCAATCAACTACGGTGGATCGAGTAGTGCAGTATGGGTTTCGGGACGCCATCGTTCCGCCATTGCCGTAAGCATATCATTGTCGATCTCGATCCGCAAGAAATGGCGCAACATTCCCAAAACCGGTCCTCGCTATATAGGGCTCCAACCTTGGATGCCAAGCCGGCAAGTTATTGGTCCCTTTATGAACCACGGGAACAAGAGATTCCTAAAAAAAATAGGAAAAACATCAATTTATTAGATTAAATAAAGCAAAATAAAACATTAGAAAATAATAAAATAAAGCAAGTCAGTTCATCAAATTACCGGATTGTTATCCCAAATGGCACGGGAGCGATGAGCTTCTTGATCGGTTAAGAGACTCGCATCCCTTGGGCCATAATGGATATACAATCGAGGATCGTATATCTCGGCACCCATCTATAAAAAAGTAATGAAATCAGAGATTGTTTTGATAAAAAAAAATCAAATTGTTTCGATTAAAAAAATCATAAACCAAAAACCTACACGAAGAGCCTCTTCGTCCATTATTGGCGGAAGCCGGACAGAGGTTCGACGGGTTTAGGTTTGTAAGGGACGGGAACTTAGCGGGACGGGGGCTTTAGGGTCAAACTCTAGTAATTCTTTCTGATGTGGATACCCCGCGTTAGTCCACGTCAGCGCCTTCACCGTGGAAGTCTAAATCGGTGAAGGCTTCACCGTTTTTGTTTAAAACGGTGAGGTATTCACCGTTCTTAACAAACGCGGTGAACCCTTCACCGTTTTAGTTTGAAACGGTGAATACATCACCGTTTTAGTTTAAAACGCTGAAGTATTCACCGTTTTGGTCAAAAGCGGTGATGACCTTCACCGCTTTTGTCTAAAACGGTGATTCTCAAACATGTGTACTTTTGGAATTTTTTTTATAACTTATGTATTTTGGGAATTTTTTTTAAGAACTAGTGTACTTTGGGATTTTTTCCCTTTTCTTTTCCTATTCTCTTTCTATTTCCCCTGTCCGTTTTTTTTTTTTTTACTGATGACTAAACATCGTCCTAACTTTACTTAAATCGCCCTAACTTAAAAGGGTAAATTACTAGTCTACCCTTCCTGAATAAAAAACTGACACTGCACCCAGTAAACAGTTAGTTGTCTTCTTCTTCCTCCGGCTATTGGTGGCAACCCTTTTTTGCTGCCATTGCATCTACAAATCGTGGCGGCTCTGGTCGAAAGCGGAAGTTTCACGAATCACCATACAGACTATTCCGCCATCACTACCCAAAACACCACCCTCTTCACTCTTTAACTCTTTGGTTAAAAAAATGAATGACTTCCACCTCCTCCTGGACATGAACAGTCTCTACCGTGTTTAGCAATCTCCTTTTTTTTATTATTGTGCAACTATTAGAAGCAAGGATGTCCAATTGGTTTATCTACTACTCTACTCTACCCAATAAATATTTACACTACCCAATAAATAAAAGGATAACGGTGAAACTTCAACTCTCATTTCAAATTTTCTACATCTATAGCGAAAATAGAAATGGTAGATCCGTTATTACAATCATTTATTATTTTCTTGTTTACATGAAAAAAATATATCAATAATGGAATTTTAACCGTGGTCTTTTTTGAACAAAGATAAGAAACACAACCAATTATACTAACAAAATTTGTTAAATGATTTTAAATTAAAACATCCATGAAGTTTAAATTTAAAAAATCGTAGGAATTTTCCACCACGGTTAGCTAACTCACTAACTCTCCCGTAAATATTTTTTATTGGTATTTGATACTCTCTGATTTAATATTTTGTTTATTCTAATTCGAGTTTAATAATTAATTTTATTTCATTTATTTATCTTATAAAATGAGGATAATTTTAAATCGCAACCCAAATATAATTTGTTCAAATATTGTATATCGAATTGCACTATTGAATGTGCAAAAGCGATGTAGAATTCTTGACATATACCTAATTTTTATAACTACAATAAAGTGACGATATTTTTTAACACAAAATTTTTTGATGAATATAGGGCACATGTGTCTATAAGAGAGGAGTAGATTTTTAAAGGTTAAGTGATGTTGGTTTGCCTAACACGGATGAAAAATACACTACTAATGTAAACGGGCCCAATTAGTGCCCCGACCTACTAAACACATCGTCGTCTCTCTAAACTTCCCATCGGATTCAACAACCGACTAACCTCCTCCATCTGTATTGTTATGCCAGAGCAATTTTCGGAGGGCAAATATGAAAAGCTTGAGTGTTGTTGACTTGCCGAACGCGGATGGAAAAGACGCTACTAATGTAAAAGGGCCCAAATAGTTGGCTGGCCCACTAGACACTCAACCATTGTGCTTACTTTCGCTACACCTAATATAATATTGAAATAGGAAAGGTACTTTCCCCATTACAAAATCCTTGCATCCATAGCGAAAGTAGGAAGGATTGATTCGTTTTCATAGTCATTTATTATTTTCTTATTTAAAGGAAGAAAAAAATACATCAGTGATTGGATTTGATCTATGGTCTCTTTGAAAATAGACAAAAAATATAACCAGTTACACTAAACAAATTTATTTAATCTTTTTAAATTAAAAACATACAGGAAGCTTATATCTAACAAATCATTAAAAAAATTCACCATGGTTAGCTAAGCCACAAACTCTCCCGTAAATATTCTTTTGGTATTTGATACTTCTATTTTCATATTTTGATTATTTTAATTCGAGTTTATTAATGAATTCTATTTATGATTTTATAAAAGATAATAATTTTAAAATCGCAACACTAACATTATTGGTGTAAATATTGCATATCGAATTACAGAATTGAATGTGTAGAAACGATGCAGAATTCTTAACATAGACTTATATTTTATAACTATAATAAAAAGAACAATATTTTTGAACACAGAAATTTTGAGTGAATACGTAGCACATGTATCTTTAAGAGAGGGGTAAATATGAAAAGATTGAGTGATTTAGGTTTGTTGAACACGGATGGAAAAGGCACAACTAACGTTAACGAGTCTAAATAGTGTCCTGGCCCACTAAAGGCTCAACCATCGTCGTTTCTCCAAACCTTTCAACCACACTCGACAACCGCCTAACCTCCTCCACCTATACTTTTACCCAAGAGCAATTTTTGAAGGGGTAAATATGAAAAGATTGAGTGTTCTTGCTTGGAGAGTTGCAATGACTGGAGGGTTATTTAGTTTCTTTGACAGTAATGTGTGATATCTTAACCATCAATTCATTTGGTTGCTTTTCTAGGTTGACTTTTGAGTTGATTAAATATACATAACTATACTTTTTGTTGCTTTTGTTGCTTTTGTTATGTTTTTTGAGGTTAATTTCCAGTAAACAAAGATTATTTTGTTTAGTGTTAAGATAAGGAATAGCTTCAATCATACCACTTTTACATAGATTTTATATGTAGGAGCTGAGACCGTTACCGAATTAACTATTCAAACTATAATGTTGATCTTCAACATATAAAACATTGTTTCTTTTGAGTGAAATAACCTCATGATTGCGGATAAGTTTTAATAATATGATGTTTCGTGATAGTGGTCACTTGCTTCCAGATTTAAAAGTAGAATTCTAATTATTACAATATAAAAAGCATGAGTGATTGCAATAATTGGAGTAGATACAAGGTGGTTTGATATTCTTCTCTCTGCAAGGAATAACTACATGGTGAGCATATGTGTCATGGGAAGGACAAACTGAACTCTTTGTGTTTGTAGTATAGCCTGTTGAAATATATGCATGTCTAGACCCGGCCGATTGGACATCAGACATCTCCACCTGGAATTTATTGACGGGATTTTTGCTCATCAAAACCACAAATCAAGTAAGCTCCCTCCTTAATCCTTCTATTTTTCTTAATCTGCACATGCACACCCTCATAGGAAACATGTAGACAATTGCAATTTGGGTGCTTCATTAATGTTGTTTCCATAAGATTGTATTATCCGAGGTGGTCATTCTAGAATTGTGAATCATGATTGTATCTCCTTTAAGAAATTGTCAAGTTAAGCTATGAAAGAGACTAGACTGAGATTCCTCTTTAATTTAGATGGTAAGAGAGCAATGACTGATAAGCCGTTAATTGCACATGTTTTTACCCCTATTCTGGAGCCGTTTGAGATGGTAATTCTCGTGTTTTAGGCCGATTTCACGCTAGGTTGTGTTTGTTTGTGATATTTCAGGTCCTAGCAAGTGAATGAAGGTTTAGGAGCGAGTTCGGGGTCGATTGGACGAAGATCGGGCGCGAGGCAAGTCAAAAAGGAGGCCACACGGGCACACCCACAACTCACACGGCCGTGCAAGTGACCACTTTGGCCGTGTGAGATTGTGCGAGCCTTCACACGGCCAGCCCTGATATTCACACGGCCGTGTGAAGTTGCACTTTGGCCGTGTGAGATTGTGCAAGGCTTCACACGGCCAGGCTGGGTGAGCTACAGGCCGTGTGACCCTGGCCGTGTGGGAAGCCTAAAACTCAATTATTCAGAACGCGACGTTTTGACCTCACACGGGCAACTGGGTATGCCACACGGCCGTGTGGCCCTGCCCGTGTGAGTCGGGAATTTCTGGTTTTTTACCCAATTTCGGGCTGCAAGTGGGAGAATCGAGTTTTGAGAGCAAAAACAGAGCCCTAGAGAGAGAAAGTACGAAGAACACATCCTAGAAGCTATCTTGGAGCTGGGTTTCATCAAATCAAGCTTGGAGATCGTCATAGGAGTGGAAATCATCATCCCAGAGCAGATTTTCCTCATCTTTATGAGTATGACTACTCTGTATTTTGTTTTCCTCTCTCTCTATGGAGTAGAACCCTTCTCTCACTTGGGTATGAAGAACCCTAGTTCTATATGTTAGGGATTTGATTGTAATGACTTGGGATTATATTACTGCTTGGTTTTAATCGAATGATGCATGTTTATTGAGTCAATTGAAGTCTGATCAGCTTTTCCTGATTTCTGCTGCAACCTGAGATAGATAGAATCTGATTAGGTTGTTAGAGCCTCATCATTCGGTAGTAGGAGATTGGCTATACGAGAGTTAGCCAGTTTACTGCTTTGTACTGGAATTCAATTCCAGTAGTGGAGTTCTGTCCTTACTGCTTCAACTTTCTATCCCGGTGAAGACTAGTCGTCTGCCGGGTAGTTAGTCTGAGAGGGCTTGGTCAGCTTAAGAGATTCCAAGCTACTGTCGGATCTTCCGCAGTCTAATCAATAGTAAATCAACCCA